CCGCGAGAACCGTGGAGAAGTTGAGGCGCGTCGTGGAGTTCAGCGCCAGCTTGACTTTGCCCTCCTCGTGCGCGTCCGTGGTAACACGGTGTTGGCGAGCGGGACGGCTTCCCCAATTTCCGCCAGGCTGAGACTGTTCTGCTGTTTGCTCAACTCCTCCAACTGCTGCTGATTGGCCCTGCCCACCGAACTGCCCACCGCACTCCCCGCCGCACTGCCCCGCATCCCACCGCAACTGTCGAACTGTCGGCGACGATAATCAGATGGTCCAAGATGGCCACGCTCGGGATCGCCCGTACTCGTCGCGCGAGGTTGTAGGCAATCGCACACCGCTGAACCCGCACGAGCCTCGGCGCCGATATCGCCAAGTGGTCGATGTAGCTCGCGCTCTTGGGCCGCACGGGAAGAAGCTTGTCACCGCCGCCATGCTGCTGTCCTCGATCCATTCACGAAAAGAGGAGCCCGCCAGATGCTCCAAGTTGCGCCCGAAAGGCCCGATGATCGTGCTGTCCGTCTCCTGCAGCAGGCCGTCGCATGACTGGATGTCAATCCCGTTGTTCAGGCCCGTGGACGCCACGATGGTGTTCCGATTCGGTGTGCCCTCCGTAATGCTCAAAAAACGACTCCGTCATCCTGCGCACCGTATTTTCGTACCGTGGGATACCGCGCGCTTCCGTGCACCTGGGAGGAAAGTAGCTCACGATCAGGGTGAAGTCGAACTGCGAATATGTCACCCGTAGAGCTCCCAGGCGTCCGCGCAGCGAAATCTGTATGTTCCAGAAGTGTTGAAGATGCGACGGTCGGAAGCGTCGTCGATTGAACCAAATCTCAACTCCACAGCTCTTGTTCGCGAGACTCCCGCGCCCGCCTCCCCAGCCAAACTTCAGCACCATGCAGTGTTCGTGATAAAACATATCGTGGTACGTGGGGTGGTCCTTATTCTTGGCAGTCGTGCAAGAGAGAAGGACAATGTCCGCAACCTTCACCTGTTGTGCAACCTCCAGGCGCCTGTCATAATCTGGAAGAGACATGGGGTTCCATTTGCACTATTTTCATCAGGGTGGCCACGCATCGCAGTGCCGAAAGGAGATAAAAGGCTGCGAGCGAGAACGAACGGGCCCTCATGCCCCTGGAACCTCGGGCCAGGGTTAAGATAATGATGATGCTGATGCTGATGCTGATGATGAAGATGATGATGATGATGATGATGATCATCATCATCATCATCATCATCATCATCATCATCATCATCATCATCATCATTATCATCATCATGGTCAGAGCGACGGTGCGGGCGATGATGACAACGATGGTGATTAGGAACATGATGTTGATGATTTCGACGGTGGGAGGCCAGATGCGTTCGCGATGGCGGTTCGCCAGGACTGCTAGATGCGATGCTCGCGGTCCGGTCGCGTGTCTTTTGTTGGCACCAGCACGTCGCCCACATGTTTGACTGATGTTACAAGCAAAATGTGCACGTCGTTTTCAGGACACCCCGCCCGTTCCTCGCGACATAACGTATTGAGGCCGCTGTTTTCCTAGTGTGCGTGCCGATCCGACTGGATGACATTATGTTCCAGAGTAAGCATAGGTCGGAAGGGCTGCCGCGGCCTGACGGACAAGAGCACGCCGTCTGCATATCGCGCATATGTCAGTCATCGTCGACGCTGGTGGGGGGAAACTACAGGGGGCACCGCAGCCCCTTCCCAGCCACTGTTCCTTGACCAGGCACGTCACGTTGAATCTCAGATCTCCCTGTCTAGTGCCTCGTTGTATTGGGCCACTTGCTGCGCGTGCAACTTTTTCCAGAAACCTGATCCACTGAACTGACACGCCGTCCCCGCACACGCTCCGTGGCCCCAGAGGGCCCTCACCGAAAATCTCAGCGTCCGCGTCCGCATGCGCCCTCCCCGCCCACCATATGCCAATTTCGGCACACCCCTCACACGCTTCGTGGCCCCATAGAGAGCTCCACCGAAGACCCCAGTGGCGCAGTTCGCATGCGCCCGCCCCGCCCACTACATGCCCATTTCGGCACACCCCTCACACGTTCGTGGCCCCTGAGGGAACTCCACCGAAGGCCCCAGTGGCCGAGTCCGCATGCGTCCTCCACCCCCACCGCATGCCCATTCCGACACACCCCTCACACGTTTCGTTACCCCATAGAGAGCTCCACCGAAAGCCCTAATAACCGCGTCCGCATGCGCTGTCCCCGCCCACCGCATGCCCACTTCGGCACACCACTCACACGTTCCGTGGCCCCAGAGAGAGCTCCCACTGGCCGCGTCCGCACGCGTCCTCTCCGCCCGCCGCATGCTCATGCCAGCACACCCCTCACACGCTTCGTGGTCCCCAGGGAGCGCCACCGAAGGACCCGGTGGCCGCGTCCGCATGCGCCGTCCCCGCCCACCGCGCGCACATTTCGGCACACCCCTCACACGTTTCGCGTTCCCAGAGGGAACTCCACCGAAGGCCCAGCGGCCGCGTCCGCATGCACCCTCTCTGCCCACCGCATGCCCATTCCGGCACACCCCTCACACGCTTCGTGGCCCCAAAGAGAACTCCACCGAAGGTCCTAATGGCGCAGTCCGCATGCGTCTCCCCCCCGCGCAGTACGGCGCTTCGGGGCCCAATAGGGAGCACCGAAGGTCCCAACGGCGCAGTTCGCATGCGTCTCCCCCACCCAGTACAACGCTTCGTGGCCACATAGGGAGGAACTCCAGTAAAGGTCCCAGTGGCGCAGTCCGCATGCGTCTCCCCCACCCAGTACTACTACAGTGTTTCGTTGCCCCAGAGGGAACTCCACCGAAGGCCCCAGTGGCGCAATTCGCATGCGTCTCCCCCACCGAGAATACAGTTCCGTGGCCGCACAGGGAGGAAGTCCACCGAAAGTCCCAGTGGCGCAGTTCGTGGCGCAGTTCGCATGCGTTTCCCCTGCCCATGAGACCGATTCGTGGCCCCAGAGGGATCTCCATTGAAAGCGATACCCACAACTGCGGTATTCACAACTGTTTAATGGTTGGGTCCTTCGCCAGGCTAATGCTTGAACGCCGTCGCTTAAAGACATACGAAAACGTTTGAGTACAGCCATCATCGATAACGTGTGTGGCGTACCATATGGCCACCACAAACTACTATACATAACTGCATAACGAAGTAATACCCCAAATGGTGTTCCGATCGTTTGCGGTGATTTCCACCACTGCGTCAACGCGGCATGCGCAAATGTTCTGCTACACCTCATGGAAGGCATGATTATGATGTCCACGGTAAGGGGTGATCAGGACGAAGAGAACAATGATGCTGAGCAAGAAGAGAGCATATTGAGGCAAAGGGTGAGCACATCCAACACTATGGATTAACATGGGGGTGAAGACGGCGAAGCAAAGGATGAGAAGACGGACGAATTGGACGAAAGGACTATGGAACAAGAGTACCGGAGGGAGGAGGCGGAAGTGGCGACAAGGGAATACAATGGGAAACCAATGGTATCCCAGGCTGCAAAAGCCGAGGAAAAGGACGAGGAGAAGGAGGAATCACGATGCTGAGAGATAGGAGGAAGGATGAAGCACATGAGTTGTATGACATTGATATGCGATCCGGAGGACGTAGATGAAAAAGGACGCGGGCGATGAGGAATGATCAGAAGCATGGGGGTGACGAGAAGCATGGGGATGACGAGGGGGGATCGTTGGACGAACGGAGAACTTGGAAAGCGAAAACAAGAACGCACGGCATGGATGACGATGAAGAGCTTGAAGGGAGAAGGAGGCAAATGCGGGAAAACAAGCTGATGATGGGGGGCGGGGGATAAGGAGGAGGGCGACAAGTAAACAAGGGGAAGGGTGGCGAGGCTAAGAAAAGGGTGGGGAGGAAGGGGAGTAAGAGGGTTTTGTTGGCTTCGATTGGCTCAACCAAATTTAACCATCCTTGCTAGACCTGCCTTGCTGCTCCCTTTTCCAGCGATCCGAGCACGCAACGCTGCAAGCCTGTCGACGTGGGTGGCATGTGCGGCCACAGGCTGTGGCCTTGAGGCAGCGACGAATGCATCTGCATCAGGCCTGGTGAATGGTGGCTCCTGAGCAGCAGAATTGACTGCCTAGTCCTTGTGAGGACGCAAAGTTCTCATCAAACGACGCCACATTGTGGTGCCAGCGGAGCCCTGTCCTCGTCCACGCGGGGTCTGAGGCATGGCTGGGCCAACATGTGAAGCCTATGGTGGGCAAAATGACTACACAGCATTCAAAAGAACACGGGGGTTCTCGATTAGTGACTTGCGTGTTGACTACTCGATGGACATGTATGTCCAGGGCATGAGGTCCAGATCTCCTTCACGAACACAGGGAGACCGCCGCAGCCCACCTCAGGCCGATCGTGGATGCCCCCCCGTCAATCTTGAGACACCAAGTGCACTGTGGCCCCACAGCCAGGGTTCCCATCGAGTGCTATCCAGCCACCTCCTTCAAACAAAGCTTGGACCTTGCGCTCTCGCTTCGGGGGCATCTCATGCGTGCCCCTGGGAAATAAATTCAACACAACCTACGTTAACGTATGTACATGCTAACCCCCCCCCGCCCAACCGTTTCTCAAGCAATGGCGAGGGGATGCCATCCAAGTTAGCGGACGGCCCCCTTCCGACGGGCGAACGAGGCCCCCCGCGGGCCGCCCCAGGGCGGCAACGATGTGGCTTGGGCCGGCCCAGGAGGGGCAGGGAGCGAACCTCCCCGAACACAAGGGTGGGTGGGTGGGAACAAACGGAGGCGTTGGCCGCGCGGTGGGGGTGATCGAGCCGTGAGCCAAAATGGCAACAGGTCGATACACCCGCACCGTCGGGCCAGCGCGGAGCTCATACCCGCCCACCCATCCTTGGAATGCGCTACACGGTTGTGATGATCGCATAAGTGCTCCCCCACACACACAACCTACGTTCACGCGTGCACATGCTACCCACCCCGCCCAAACGTTTTTCAAGCAATGGCGAGGGGATGCCATCCGAGTTAGCGGACGACCACCTCCCGACGGGCGAACGAGGCCCCCCGCGGGCCGCCTCCGCGAGGCGCAGGGCGGCACGGACGTGGCAGGGAGCGAACCTCCCCACATACTCGCCAAGGTTGGGCCTGGGGGATTTTCAAGCCTCCAAAGCGGCGCCTCCCGGCGCGGCCCGGCGTGGGAAGCAGCGTGCACAATTCTTCGAAGCCTCCCCGGTCGGGGTGACCGTGACCAGCCGGGCGTCGGGCGAGAGAGCGAACGCCCAGCCGCATCGCGTGGCCCAGAGCCGCGGGGGCGGGGGAGCCCTCATGTCGAAGTCGACGGCGTGGGCCCACCCCCGCGCCTCGTGCAGCACCAGCTAGCTGGTGCATGTTCTCCTCCGCGTGCCTGGCGTTGCGGAACTCCGACTTCAGCTGCGTGAAGCGGGCCTCGACGGCCCCGGCCTTCGCCTCGACGTCCTGGCCAAACTTGGCCTCGAGCTTGTCCTCCAGCGCGAGCAAGTCTGCCTCCGAGGCGCGGGGCGCCTGGGACAGAGGGCCGCTGGCTGTGGCGCCTGCCTGGTCACTTTCCCGGGCGACGGCAGTCGGACCTCTGCAGGCGCGGAGCCTATCACGCACCACGTCCGAGATGTGCGCCTCCCTGACGTAGCGCATCGCTACCTCGGACTCCCACCTGCCGAAGGTCTTGACCTCGTCCACAGAGAAGCCCACAGCCGCGAGCCACTGGGCCCCGGAGACTCGCAGCCCCCGAAGCAGCGGTGGCCTGAATCGTCCAGCGTGCTGAAGTCCATGAGCTCGGCAAGGGACTCCACGAGCTTGAAGACGGTTTCCTCGGTGACGGTGCCTCCCCGCCGGTCAGGGAACAGCGGGAAGGCCGCCTGGCTCGTGGCATCGGGCCCGTACGGCTCGCCCAGAAACTCGACGTGTTGGGATGCCACGTGGTTGACGCAGTCGGCGGCCAAGCGACCGTCCCCGCACGAGCAGCCCCAGGCTCGCGCGCAGCCCACGGCGGCTCGGTCTTGCTGACCGGGAGCGCCCATGTGGCGAGCTGCCTCTTCCTGTCGACGGTGAGGTGAGAGCGTCGAGCATCAACCAGCTCGATCTCGCGCAGCATGAACGCAGCGCCCAAAACGAAGGCCTGCTTGCCGTTGACCGGGGCGCTGTCGCCGAAGTCGACGCCGTCGGTGTCCAGCTCGGCGACCTCGGCAGCAGGGACAGGCGAAGACTGGCGAGGCGGGCCAAGACCCCGAACGATCGAGCGGGTGCCCTGCTTGTCCTCAATCTCGTGCGCCTGCGTCCAGACGCACCCATGCAGAATGTGCTCCAGCTTGATCGGGGAGACGTAGTTCGGGAAGCTCCTGTAACCCTGCAGCTTCATGAGGGCGCCCACGTGCCTGATGTCCTCTGGCTCGCACGGGATGGCCGGGACCTCTTCCCCGTGCCAGGCGCAGAAGAGTTTCGACCAGGTGGCAAGTAGGGTGCTCTGTGGCCCAGCAGCTGTGCGGGCGCACTTGTCCAGCTCGTACTCCGACAGGCATTGCGCCCTGAGCTCGGGCGTGATCAGCAGGTCCTTGAGCGGCTCCGCGCGTCGCCGCCTCTTCATCAACGGGAAGTCGCCGCGGTCGACCTGCTCGACACGCTCGGCCACGAGCGCGCTCGAACTGCAAGCTGCCCGAGGTGCCGCTTCCCCAAGCGCCAGCGGAGGCCTCGGTGGCGCCCCAGCGCCAGCAGGAGCCCGATCGCAGCGCCCTGGCGGCGGCCTCGGCAAACCCCTGGCGGGCGGGCCGACGGGCAAGGGGGCCACCCCGCGCGCCACCGCGCCGAAGGAGGTCGGGCCCGGAAGCCAGGTGGGCAGGCTGCCCGCTGCCCGCGTGCGCAGTGGGCGCCCACCGCGGGCCCTGCGCATGCGGGCCGTATGCGAGGGGTCAGACAGCCTGAGCAAAGTGGTTACGCACAAAGCCCGAAGGTCATCCTCCTCAGCACGGGCGACCCCACCGTCCTTGCACCCCGGGGGGTGCGCCGCACTACCCCCCCCCCGCAGTGGTTTCAGCCCCGATCCAGGAAATCCACGCGGACCTCCGAAAGTTGAGGGTCACCCAGCAGGGTGGAACTGGCTAGAGGGGGAAGATCGACCCTGAATCGACGATACACCAACGATGCATTGGCGATAGCGGGGCGGGCGTCGGCGATGACTGGGCGATTGGGGGTCGATGCATCCTCCTTGAGCCCATCTCCCCGTCGTTGATCCCTGGCTTGTGGGTCATAGCTCGGCTCTCCAGCGACCGTTCGGGCCGATCCGGGCACCCCTGGAAAGATCTCGGCGAGGCGCAGACGCTAGAGGACATCCCGAGGCTGGCAAACCACAGAGGACCGACGCAAACTTCCGAACACCCAACCCAGACATCCGACGATATGAGTTTGGGCCGCCCTGTACGCTTCTGTGGCAGTCTCAGTCCTTGAGGGGCCCAAAAGGGCTCGTTCGGACGCTGTGCCGCAGGGGGCCAGCAGCCGCGCACCAGCCCAGCCTCTCGCATTTTTCTTGGCCTCCGCAGGCCGGCGCGCCGCCCCTTTCGGCCGAGGCTGGCCCACATGCGGCTGTGCGCAGTGCTGGGCCAGCCCCTCGCCCGAGGACGCTGCCCCTGACGAGGGCAGCATCACCTCGGCCGGCAACGGCGGTAGAGCGCGCCCAGCCTTGAGATCTAGGCGTTGCAATTCTTACCACACTGGGCGTGTTCGTCGGCTTTGGGCCCTGGGCCCCTCACAGATGGATCCGGCTCGAAAAATGCCGAATAACGGTGGGGTCTGGGGCTCTGGGAAGGGGCGGCGGCCGCGCCGCGAAGAGAGCCACCGCCATGGCGCTACCCGTCCGTCAGCACGTACAGGACGTCGTGCTCGGCCAGCTTTGCCTCGTGGGCGGGCGCAGCTTCAGACGAAGCCAAAACCAGCGCAAAATCAAACCGGGACGAATCTGGGACGGGCGGTGCTGGAGGATGTATCGGACGAACGTGGCAATTCCAGAACGCTCTTCTTCCCGGAACGCCCTGGAAAGATTGATCCTGATCCTAGCACAGTCCGCAATCACCCCCGCCTCCCCCGAAACACCTCGGATAGCGAAAGCATCAGTGCCACGCAGGCCAGACGACCCCGTCGGCGTGCTGCTGCCCCTCACACGTCTCGTGGTCCCATGGGGCGCTCCACCAAAGACGTCAGTGCCAGCGCCCACATGCGGTTGCACCCCCCATGTCGGCAGACCCCTCACACGTCTCGTGGCTTCCTAGGAAGTTCCATCGAAGGCCCCAGTGTCAGCGCCCGCATGCAGTTCCATCCCCCATGTCGGCGCAGACCTCACACGCTTCGTGGCCCAGCACGAAGCTCTACCGAAGGCCCCAGTGACAACGCCCGCATGCGGTCCCTTTCTGATTTCGGCACGCCCCCGTAGGCTCCAGTGGCAGTGCCCGCATGCGGTTGTACCCCCAATTTCGGCGCACCCCTCACACGATTCGTGGCCACGTAGAGAGCTCCACCGAAGGTCCCAGTGTCAGCGCCCGCATGCAGTTCCACCCTGCCAGTGCACCCCTCACACGTCTCGTAGCCCCATGGGGAGCTTCTCCGAGGGTCCCAGTGGCAGCGCCCGCATGCGGTTGCACCCAACATTCCTGCGCACCCATCACGCGCTTCGTTGCCCCATGGGGAGCTCCACCGAGGGCCCCAGTGGTAGCGCCCGCATGGAGTTCCACCCTCAATGTTGGCGCACCCCTCAAACTCTTCATGGCTCCATGGGGTGCTCCACTGAAGGCCCCAGTGGCAGCGCCCGCATGCGATTCCACCCTGCATTTCGGCGCTCCCAGCACACGTTCTGTGGCCCCATAGAGAATACCACCGAAGGCCCCAGTGGCAGCGCCCGCATGCGGTTCGACCCCTAATGTCGGCGAACACCCCATCATACGCTTCGTGGCCCCATGGGGTGCTCCACCAGAGGCCCCAGTGGCAGCGCCCAGATGCGATTCCACCCCAAATGTCTGCGCACCCATCAGACGCTTCGTGGCCCCATGGGGAGCTCCACCGAGGGCCCCAGTTGCAGCGCCCGCATGCGGTTCCACACTGCATTGCGGCGCTCCCCCTCACACGTTCCGTGGCCCCACAGGGAGCTCCACTGACGTCTCCAGTGGCAGCGCCTGCATGGCGTACCCGTGCCCATTTTAGCACGCACACACACACAAACACGCACACACACACAAACACACACACACACACACACATACACACACAAACACACACACACACACACACGTCACACGCGTCGTGGCCCCATCGAAGGGTCCACCGATGACGATACCAACAATTGCGTTACTCGCAACTGAACACGGTTGGGTCTTTTGCCATGGTAATGTCCGATCGCACGTTGGCATCTCGGAAGCGCACGCCCACGTGCACGCCCACGCTCACTTTTTTGTCGGCGGAGTCTCGGGTCCGAGTTGCAGGCGGGCTACGCTGGGGCATAAGCGAAGCTAACACGCACACTACTCCGTCTGAGAGCGAGGCATGACTACAATGCTAGGACCCCGCCCCCGGGCCACGTCCCATCGCCCTCCTCCCGGGAAACTAGTTCCAGCAGTTTATGCCGACACTGTGGGCGGGTGGGTTCCAGCACCAAATGTTTACGAGGGACAGTGGCGCCAACAGCCCACGGGGTGGGTGGGCTCCAACACCTAATTTTGACGACGGAAAATCACTCCTGCAGAATCTGCCGACAAGAAGGGTGGGCTTCCGCCGGAAAGGGAAGCCAGAGCGACCCGCGCCCCAACCAAGAACCCACGTAGAGTCCGTCAAACATTTCACTGGCAGGATATTCACCTGACTGTAGGAATGTCCACGGATCTCCGAGACCCAGCACACGTGGCCTTCCGACATGCCGTTTGGGGCCTGCCAGCGGCGCCCGATGACCGGCAATCAAACATGAGATCGATGGAAAAACGCCGGAACGCAACAAAACCATACCGTCGGTCCAACGAGGGCTTCCAAGGTCCCCCCAGCAGGCCCCACGAGGCCCCAGGCGGTCCCCAAGAGGCCCTAAGACTACAGAGGGCCCCAAACAAGGATCCAAGAGAAAGAGCCCGAACTGGCATTTCGGACCCGAAGCCCGCAAGAGACCTCCGAGGCCGCCAGCAGGCACCCAGGCACCCAGCAAGACGCCCTCAAGAGATCCCCATGAAGCCGAAGCACCCCCAGAGGGTCGGCGGTGCGGCGAGTCATCTCGCCAGAGGTCTGAAAATCTCGGGGCCCCGCGCCACGCCTGCAGCTCCTCGAGCGTGGGGCCCCTCCCTGGCGTCTGCGGGACGAGGGCCATGTAGTGCCCAGGCACGTAGCAGATAGCGAGCAGGTTGGCGCGGCACTCCGCCTTTTGGCGGCACGCACAAACACAGGATCAGCCAGCATCGACAGTCGGATCGGATCAGAATGTGCGTCGGATTGGGCCGCCTCGGCACGGAGTCGGGATCGGATGAGATCGGACGCGCCAGTACGCACAACGCCACCACGCAAGCATCGGGCCGAATCGGATCATCGAGATCTCGACGGATCGGGCCAGCCAGCATCGAAATCGAAACGATGGGATCGGAATGGAAATTGTAAGCAGATCTCCGACGATGGGATTTGTTCAATCTGGGCGTTTTTCCTGGACTTCGGCCCCAGGGGCCCGTCATCGGGCCCCGGGGCAATCAAACATAAAAACATGACAAACAAGACCCAGCCCTGGGAGAAAGGTCGGAAAGCCCGCATCGAACGATTAGCCTGTCGAAGGACCCAACCATGTGCAACTGTGAATACCGCCTGCAAACGCGCAGGCGGCTGCCCAGCCCGGCCATAGGTGGCTGTCGGGGTATCGGGAGACATAGCAGAAGCGCTTTCTCATTCCTTTCCACGTGGCGAAGGCGATGGCACGTCACAGGGCGCGAGAACTCTGAGCCCCCAGCTCACCACCGTGACGGCTGATGGCCCTCGCCCGCAGAGCTGCCCGCTTCTTATGCACGCCCCTCAACTCTGGAAAACACCGTTCGCAGAGGTGCTTGTGGATGCCCGGCATCGCATGGAACTGGGCCGCACTCACGCAAGCGCCGAACTGCCAGAGATGTCTTGCGATCCCAGTGCGCGCCTCTGGCGGCCCCGACTCGGCCACCAGAACCGCGTGCACGACGAAGCCATCGGTGCCGACAAGCGGCTCGCGGCTTCTCGGACGGTTGCGACCGCGGCCTCCTTGGGGACAGCGGTGCCCTGTGCCGACGCGAACAACGGGAGGTCGAGGTTCGGCATGCCTGCCTGGTCGTGGCGGTCAGAGAACAGTGCGCGCAGCGTGGCTCGCTGGGCCCACGAGGCGTGAGCGGGGCATACGTTCGCGAAAGCGCCCGGCCCGCAGCAACATCCATGCGCACGCTCCTGACCCAGAGCCAATGGGTCCGCCTTGGAGAGGGAAGCAACCAAGAGGCCTGACGGCCTGATGGAGTCATCCCGAAGGTGACAATGGCCGCTGGCGCTGTGCTGATCTCGATTACCCTTTGTGAGCCACCAGCACCCAGCGCCAGAGACCCCCCAAGGACCCATGCATCGCTCGCCATCCCCGGTGCGTCGACGAGATCAGCTCCTTGGACTGTCCAGCCTGAGAGAATGCGGGAGACTGTGGGGGCTCAAGACGCGCGCCCTCCTTTTTAAGTTTCTTGGTCTGTGCGAGGCAGGGCTGTCACAGGCCAGTGCCTTTTTGTTGGAGCATCCGGCTGACCCTGGCCAATGCCCATTTCCCTTCATTTTCGTTCTCGAGGGGGTCCAGGGGCTTGGCCGTCAGAACCTCGAGCCACGGTGAAACCATAGACTAGTGCATGTACGTGAGGGTGGTCCACAAGACTACTCTGGGGAAAGGGTCGAGACTTCTGGGACCCCACAATGAAGAAAGCAAGACGTCAACTGTCTGGGAGTGGGTGGCGCAGTGGAAAAGGGGCTGCCTTCCTGACATGACGGGGGGCCTCGTGGAGGGCCGGGGCCTTCTCAGGAGCGCCCTGGAGGCTCATGGGAAGGGTTCTTGGGAGCTGGCAGGGCTCCTAAGAGGCCGCCTGCCTTCTGAAAAGCACCTTTCCCATCCCAGCCTTCTTGGAAGGCCGCCCCCGTCGCGCGCCCCCCAGATGCACGGCGCTCCGCCTCCCTATGCGGCCCCGAGGGGTAGTGCTTCCCCCTGTAGATCTCAATGCCACCGCTCACGGAGTCGAAGACCTCGGAAGGCAAAGAGCAGCATCAATGTCGCTGGGCGACCCCATCAGAGTGTTACTGTTGAAGAGCGACTAGGCTGTTGAACAACCGAGTCGCTCTTCAACCGGATCACGCCGATCCAACATTGACCAACAGTGTCGCACAACATCGAAGAGATAGCCCACACACACAGTTTGCGAGACGACGCGCGTGTCACTGATACTCCCCAGACATCCGATGCTTGGGTTTTTGTTTGTTGTCTCTTGACTGTTCATCGTGAGTAGTTGTTGGACGGTCCCTGGGGCCCAGCGAGGGCCCCCAGTCGTCGGGAGCAAGGAGCCACCTCCGTCTCGATGTTCTCCATACGTGGGACGTCGTTTGTATCCCTCCCGAACACCGCCACCGCGAGCTCGGACAGGAGCGCATGGGAGTGAAGCACGAAAAACAGGAAGTCGCTGAAAGCCTGCACGTCCTCGCCGACGCGCTGACCGCCCCAGTCGGGGTGGGCCGCCAGCACGGCCGCCTCGATGATCCTCTTGAAGTGGAGGGCCGTCTCCTCGAGGAGTGGCCTCCTGTCGCTCACGCCCAGATATCGAGGAACCGGAGAAGACACAAACACTAACTTTCGGTGTCTTGGATCGGCGCTGGAGCCCCCTGGCGGCGACCCCGGCGCCGCCCATGGCGCGTCCAGCGCGCAAGAGAGGGGGGTCCAGCGCCGATCCGAAAAATCAGCGGGACCTCCGACATGTTATGTTTATGCAATTTCGTGCTCCTCGAAGATAAGCCCGCGCCAGCGAGAGGTAGAAACACTGGTTGTGCATCTGCTCGCCCTTCTCGTTCCGGTTGACAGACCCCACGTCGCAGGTCTCCAACCCGAGCGCCACGATGGCCCGGGGGCTGCCAGAAGTGCCCTTGGCCCAAGCTGCCCCCCAGCTTTCCGCGCCAAGCTGGAGCCCCTGGGACCATCCGGACCTCATGGGGTTCTGGCCCTCCCTGCAAATCCTGGGAGGCACCTTGGGCCAGGACCACCTCCCCTGGGATCCGACGTTTCAAACAAAATGCGCCATCCTGGAATCAGACCCGATCTTCCTGCAGCATTTTTCGAGCCCCATCGATCTGTGAGGGCCCCAGGGCTCGAAACCAGGCGAAAACGCCCGGGATGGAAACGACTTGCAAAAGGCTCAAATCTGAGGGCCTGGCAGCACCCGGATGGCCGCCTTCTGCTTCGCGACGTGCACGCCGAGGTCCTCGCCGTGCTCGCGGAACCAGGACTCCACGAGCGTGCGGTGCTCCCGCAGCTCGAAGTCCTTCGCCGCGCCCGCGGGCGGCAGCGCCAGCAGGCCGCCCGCCGAGCCTTCCTCGCCGCCAGGCGCTCTGCCGGTCAGAGCGAGGTAGGCCTGAAGCGTCTGGCTTTCGGGTTAGAGCTGGGGTCTCCTGCGGCGGCTCGGGACCCCGACATCCAGCGCATTGACAACATCCAACTGCCAATGTTCTTCGCTTTTGTCTCCGTCTTCTACCTCCAGGAACCCTCGCGGACGCTCAAAAAACGATTCACGATGAAAAACTGGCTCTGGGAAAGGAACTTCCGGGGACGCCGTACTGAAACACCCCCAGAGCGCTCTCGGCGAGGCGCAGCCGCTGGAAGGCACCCCGAAGCTGGAAAACCGCCGAGGACCTACGACACCGTCCGAAGTCCTGACGTTGCCCCTGCGGGGGGCTCGAAGCATCCCGAGGCCGGGAGACCGCCGAGAGCCGGGAACCGCGAAGGCCTGCTGCAGCCGGCAGAAGGCGCCGGGGTCCCCGCCCTTGTCAGGGTGCGCCGCCTCCGGGGGGGACCAACAAGCACTGGTACCTCTAAGATACCAGTGCGTTTGGTGTCGTGTTCATCGCATTCGGTGTCTTGCTCATCGAATTCGGTGCGGCAGCTCGAAGCCGAATTTACATCGGATCCACGTCGGGATTATGTCGGATCATCGCCGCCCGAACGCCATCCCATGTCTTGCGGAACGGACGTGTGGACTGCATGATACGACTATTGCGTGCCGTGCGATGCCTCCAAGATTATCATCGCTCGATGTTCATCGTAATATACCGCTACTCTCCCCGTGTGCGTTCTTACCAACATGTCGAGATCCATCCGGCCGTGCCGACGAAGGCCTGCCAAAGAGGCCCCCAAAAGGCAAAGTCGAGGCAATAGCAGCGGTGTCGCCACCTTTTCCTCCCCTGAGCCTTCGCCTTCTCCCGGTACGCGGCCTTCACCTCCTCTGAGGGGCAACTTTAAAGAGGGGGGGCCAGCTCAGGGGATGGAACATCGACCTGGAATCGGCGATAGATCGCCGATGGCTCGGTGATGGGCCTCCCCGACAGCGAATCCGCACGTTCCTGGGTGGGGTGGGCCATCGGGCCCCTATCGGCAATGTGTGGGCGATGTAAGGTTGATGACCCCCCCCGTTTCCAGACGGGTCGATGCACCCCCCCCTGTTTCCAGACGTCCGATGTCGTGATTCTTGAAGTGCGGGCTCCTCAGAGATGCCGACCCTTTCCCCGGGGCCAAATCTTCATCGTTATCAACTTTTGACTGTCCCCAGCGCCTGGTGAAGGCCCCCGGACCCGGATCATTTGATACAATTCGGTTGCGATCGGCAGCGACCGATCAACACTTCAAATCGGTCGCGACCGATCGCAAAGGATCGGTCGCGACCGACTCTGTAGCACTGTAGCAAATCGGTCGATGCTGACACTGGAACTTGAAGCAACATCGGTAGCCACCGATCTCGTCGGCCGCGACCAGAAGATTCTCGGCGCTCGGGGCGTGCGGCGGGGCCGCCGCACTCGGCAATGCACCACGATTTCGACGCGTCTCCATTGCAGTCACTGGAGGGGCCGGCTGGGGAACGCTCACGGCTGAACGAGCAGACGCCCTCCGAGACCCCACACGCAAACACCCCGTCGTCGCCCCTGGTCCTCTGGGCTGGCGCCGCGGGGGACGCCCAGGACCTCCTCGGGCGCGGGCTCGCCGCCCGCCCCGCCGCCTCGCCAGCGCGCCCTCTCGACTCGGAGGGCCAGCGCGCAGTCCAGCAGGCTGCGCTCGATGGCCACGCGCAGCTGGCCCGCCTCCACCTCGCAGGGGCCGCCTCCGTCGCTCCATCTAGTGGGAGCTGTCAGGGGCACCCCACGTGCGCTTGGCACCACATCCCGAGTGGACCCGGGCGGCACAGCTCATCGACGTCCAAAAACTGCCGAGTGCATCTGGCGAAGCGCACGCCGATTAGCGAAACCGAGGGGGGACTGCACCAGCACACTGCGAATGCCGACGTCTAAAAACTATTGCGCGGAACCCCTCAATCGACTTGTCTGGGTGGGCGTTCTCTGACCGCCCGATGATCCCCTCCCCTCATCATTGGGCGCCAAGAAACGTGTGGTCGCGACCGACGAGATCGGCCGATACCGATGTTGCGTGCAAATATGCGACAATATATATATATATATATATATATATATATATATATATATATATATATATATATATGCGTTGATCACTCAAAACGTTCCCCTCGATTCCGGACCCTGGGGCCCCATGTCGGGCCCGCGAAGCAAGACGACCCCGGGGAAGAGGTCGGGAACTTTGGAGCCGCGGATGGAACAAAAAACATGTCGGAAAATGTTTGGTAACAGAACCTGAATGCAACGGGCCCTCTGGAGAGCGTTATTCATGTCCCCCGTAACTAGAACGAGAAGAAATTCTTGACACATCGTGCTATTGATATTGTCGGGGGATTCTGGGATTTTTCACAGTTTTCGCGCGGGGTGCACTCTGCGTCGAGTATTGTCTACTCTGCCTGGCGCCGCTGGTCGGTCACCCATTCGCAATCGAGTGGTCGCCCGTAAGGGGGCTATTTGGCACTTGCTGATCCCCCTTGTCGTTGCCGAGCGCGGGGGGGACGGTGGCGCGCCGCCCCCTCGCCAGCCGCCGCGCACCGCGCAGCTCGGCGGATTCCCAAAAACCTGGTAAAACAAATCACGCGCGACCCTGGAAAATTCTCCGGGGGGGATTTGCAAATCAAGATTTTGGGGTTTTTGAAAATGTCCGGCCTACTGTTGGTAAAACCCTAGAACCGATTTTGAACAACTCCGGGATCGATTTTGATAAATTCCGGAATCCATTTTGAACAATTCTGGATTTCAAGATTATTCAAATGTCCTGCGCGGCGGGCCCACCCTTCAAACCGATTTTTTTGGTTTTGAAAATTTTCGGACTCCCTTTTGAAAAATTCTGGAACCGCCTGCGCCAAAAAAACGGAAACACTTTTTTCCGAAACATTCTACAATCCAGAAATTCGCCGGCCCAACGGGCCAGAGGCGTGCTAAGATCTCCGGTAACTGGTTGACAATATTTCTTTTTCGCGCACGCGGAGCGGCCCCTGGGGGCCCCCGGGCGCAAAGTGTCCCGGCAAGGCCCCGGGAGAAGCCACCAAAGCACTCCAGGGCAGGCCATTTTTCGACACCCCTCACGAGGATCGTGGCCTCCGAGGGGGGAGCCGCAATCGACTGCCCCCCCTTTCGCCCCAAGAGGCTCCCAAAAGCCCCCCGAGAGGCCCCGGGGGCCCTCGAGGCGCCGCCAAGGAGCCCCAAGAGACTCCCAAGAGGTCCCCAGGAGGCCCTAAAGAGGGCTCCAGGGCCGGCGGAATGAGCGAAACGATTAAACAATTTCCGGGCGGTCCGACGGACGCGGTCGGCTGACTCACGCACCGCGCCGCGCGCAATTGGGCGCAGCGCGCGCCGCGCCCTGCGCCCGCGAAGAGCACTCGAAGGGGCTGCCTCGAACATCGCGCCACGGCAGCTGCGACTCGCGGACTCCCCAAGAGCAAACCAGAATGCAGCTTGGAATCTCCGAGGGCGCTCCGATGCGCGAAAACTGCAGCGCGCACATCGCGCAAAAAAACCTGCGCGACGGAATGCGCTCGACCATTCATCCCTGGAGCCCGCGCGGAAAAACAGGAAAACCTAGGAAATCTTGAAAACTATCAATATCAATACCTCATGCTCCTCTGAGTAACGTCCGCAACGGGGGGGAAGGGAGGTGGCCCGGCCGCCGTGGGGGTGGGGGTAACTGAAACGTGGCGGGCGCGGGCATGGTACTAGCAATAGTAATGGTGGTAGCAATACTAGCCGCAGTAGGAACACGGGCAAAGGCCACGTCGACGAGGACGAAGACGCCCACCAGCGACGACGACCACGACAACGTCGCCGACGACGACCGCCCAGGACGTCGACGACGACGACCAGCGGCAGCGACGACGATGACCAGCGACGACGACGACGATGACCAGCGGTGACGACGACGATAAGCGGCGACGAACAGTACCAAGTGGAAAATAAATAAAAATATAAGTAAAGCAGTAATAACAGTAGGAGCAATACTAGTAGCAGTAGGCGCATTCGTACTGCTATGTAGATGAAGTGGCACTCGAAGCACTGGATATACTAGGAGTAGCAGAAGCAGTGGCAATAACAGGCACACACGTACGAATGATAAGAGGTAGTAGTAGGCGTCGTCATCGCAAAAATAAAAAAAAATGCCGTAGTCGGACTATTAATTGCACTCGTGCCTGTCATGCTAAGAGTGGCAATCGTAATACTTGCCGTTCTGGTCTGGTAGTAGGGGTAAATTTGTGCATGCAAGCACGTACTACGTAGCTCTTGAAAGAAAGAGTATGAGTAGTCAGAGTGAAACAACATAATCTCGATGGCGTATTAGCAGTATGATACCGACTTGCTATATTATAGTTGTAGTAGTAGTAGTAGTAGTAGTACTAGTAGTAGTAGTAGTAGCAGTAGTAATATTAATAGTAGTAGTAGTCGTAGTAGTAGTAGTAGTAGTAGTAGTAGTAGCAGTCGTGGTAGCAGTTATAGTAGTAGTAGTAGCAGTAGTAATAGTAGTCGTAGTAGTCGTAGTAGTCGTCGTAGTCGTAGTAGTAGTAGTAGTAGTAGTAGTAGTAGTAGCAGTAGTAGTAGTAGTAGTAGTAGTAAAGAAATCGTAGTAGTAGTAGTAGTAGTAGTAGTAGTAGTAGCAGTAATATTAATAGTAGTAGTATCAGAAGTAGTAGTAGTCGTAGTAGTAGTAGTAGTAGTAGTAGTCGTAGTCGTAGAAATAGTAGTCGTAGTCGTATTAGAAGTAGTAGTAGTCGTAATAGTCGTAGTAGTAGTAGTAGTAGTAGTCGTCGTCGTCGTCGTCGTGGTAGTAGTTATAGTAGTAGTAGTAGTAGTAGTAAAAGTAGTAGTAGTAGTAGTAGTAGTAGTCGTAGTAGTCGTAGTAGTCGTAGTAGTAGTAGTAGCAGTAGTAGTAGTAGTAGTAGTAGTAGTAGTAGTAGTAGTAGTAGTAGTAGCAGTAGTAGTAGTAGTAGTAGTAGTAGCGGTAGTAGTAGTCGTAGTAGTGGAAAAAAAGTAGTAGTAGTAGTAATAGTAGTCGTAGTAGTCGTAGTAGTCGTAGTCGTAGTAGTAGTAGTAGTAGTAGTAGTAGTAGTAGTAGTAGCAGTGGTAATAGTAGTAGTAGCAATAGTAGTAGTAGTAGTAGTAGTAATAGTAGTAGAAAAGAAGTCGTAGTAGTAGTAGTAGTAGTAGTAGTAGTAGTAATAGTAGTAGTAGTAGTAGTGGTAGTATTAAAAGTAGTAGTAGTAATAGTCGTCGTCGTCGTCGTAGTCGTCGTGGTAGTGATAGTAGTAGTAGAAGTAGTAGTAGTAGTAGTACTAGTAGTAGAAGTAGTGGTGGTAGTAGTAGTAGTATAAGGAGTAGTAGTAGTAGTAGTAGTAGTAGTAGTAGTCGTAGTAATAGAAGTAGTAGTAATAGTCGTAGTAGCCGTAGTCGCAGAAGTAGTAGGAGTGGTAGACGTACAACAAGCAGTAAGAATAGCATTCGCGCGGGCACGCCAACGCGCGCCGCCGCGTCGTTTGTTCTCGACGCGCCCAAGAAAACGAAGCCCACGCCGCGGCGCACCCATGGCAAGCCTTGCGTCCGAGGCGGAAATTGCCCTGGAGGCCGAGGCGCCCAAAGCGCATGGCCGCGCGTCGGAGCAAACGGCGAGGCGACGCATCGCACCGGCGGTGCAATTTGGGACGGCGCAGTGGGCGAAGCGATTCAATCGGCGGGTCCCCGGCGGGCCCTCCCCGAGTTAGGCGTCGAGGGTAGTTGATGAGATGGAGGATACATGCGTAGGCCTGCTAACAGAGCTTCGCGGATCATTCGGCCGCCACCACCAGCGCGATCTTATTCATTCTCTCGTGTGCACGTAGAAGTGCTAATGAGGCGCGCACCCAGCGCGGGGTCCACGCGCGTGACAGCTCCTGGGGCGCGTAAAAACGCGAGTGAGATGCGCCCCCAGGGCTGCGAAAGCATCGTTTCGGCGCACCCTCATGAATTTCCTCTCTGACATCATTCCGGGACGCATGAAAATGCGAGCGAGCAACGCCTTCACGGCTAAGACACTGCCATGTCGGCACACCCCTCATGCATCTCATGCGCCCCCTGCTCCTATGGAAATACTAATAATGTGCGCTCCGAGGGCCACGAAGGGCTCGATTCCAGACACCACTCACGCGATTTTTGCCCCACACTCGATTGGGAAACATGAACGTATGAATGATATTGTGATGGGGCTCCGAAATCGCCCCACCGCTCACACACTTCGTGGATGTTGGGCGCTCAGCTGGCCCCCGAGACGGCCCCTTGAAGACTCACTTCGGCACGTCCCTCATGCACGTCGGACCCCATGAACCCCCCAAAGCCCTGAACTGGCCTCCAAGACGGCGTGAGCCCCCGAGGGGCGCAGATACGCCCACAAGAAACATTGCAACAGTTGGTGCCGACTCTCGTCGAAGCAATATCCCCCCATATTGCCAAATCTGCGTGCAAGCTTCCCCCTAGGGACCCGCCCGGACTCCCGCCCTGCGGGCTCAATTCGGCGTGGAGGATGCTGATGCGCATGCGTACAAGCATGCTAAGAGCGGTCTCGCGTAAACTGATTTCATCAATTCTCCTAGGGACACGCACTAAAACATACAAGTGAAACGTGCACCTTGCGCCAAGCCCATGCGCGCGACAGCTCCCGGAACGCGTAAGAATACGACTGAGATGCGCCGTCAGATCTGCGAACGCCTCGTTTCGGCGCATTTCGTACGCATTTCCTGTCTGCTATTATTCTTGGACGCGTAAAAATGTTTGAATAACGCCCCCATGGCTGCGATACTGCTATTTCAGCACGCCCCTCAGTCCCTGCTCCACACTCTACTGGGACACGTGAAAATACGAATGCCGCGAAGGGCACAATTCCAGACGCCCCTAACGCATGTCCTGCCCCGCGCTCTCCTGGGACACGTGAAAATACGAGTGATGTGAACTCTCAGGCTCCTGAGGCACGTGAAGAGACGAAAGATTCGGGCCTCGAGGCACTTGGAAAATGTGAAGATATTCATGATCTCTTTTTTTGGCTGGGGCAGGGAATCCTTCTGTTCGACGGCGTTGCACTGAGGGCCGATGGGCCCAGGCAGAAGACGGAGAAACCCGTCTTAAAGCTGGCCAGCTCCACCCAAAGTAGATGGGTGAGTTGGAAGAGACAAAAGTTTCTGAGCAAGCGAAGCGCGAGAGGAGAGAGAAGCCGGGGGTTGTTGGGGGATGGGCGGTGGGTGCAGGACGAGCTTGAGCATGCACGTTTACGATCATACAATCGTGAAAGTGTTGTTCTCGCCAGATGCGCCAGAAAACCAACCATTACCGCGCGCGCACAAACATGATCTCTTTTTCTGGCTGGGGCAGGGGGTCCTGCTGTTCGACGGCGTTGTACTGAGGGCCGATGGGCCCAGGTAGAAGACGGAGAAACCCATCTTAAAGCTGGCCAGCTCCACCCAAATCCACAATATGCGACCTGCGTAAGCGATCATATCGAAGTTGGCTGTCAAACACCGAGGCAAAGAAGTCCGCGAACCTTTTGGGATAGGCGCGTGCGATCAACGCACGCCAGGGCCCGCCAGGGGCCTTCCCAGACAGCCTGACATGGGGCTTTCCGGACTGGCTGCAAACACAACCTCGAGGATGACAGCGTCGGGCACCAACTTCGGTCAAGGACTTGTCGAAAAAATCCTGCCAGACGGTGGTCGGCGTCTTCCATGGGGCCCCCCGCTGGCACAGGTCGGTAATCATCGGGTAGCTATTCTTATTGGATGTGAGGTGGGCAATCTCTGGCAGCTTCCAAAACAAACTGGTCTGCGGGTTCTCGACAGCAAAAGGGATCTTGCGAGACCAGCAGCTTCGCATTGCCCGCAGCGCGGCCCTCGTCACCAAATTCGCCTGCACCAGTTGTGGGTGCCCTGCAGCCTCGGGGATCCCCCAAGGACAGGCGGCCAGGCGCAAGGCTGGGTGACGGGCGATACTGAAGGTTGTGCATGGTGGGGCCACCATCCCGCCATCAAAAGAGCTGCGTCGAATTGTGTGGAGCAGGTGATTCAGGACGTGCTTGTCTGAAATATCAAAAGCTGGCCCGTTGTTGAAATCAACAATCTCTGCGATGTGCCCGAGCTGCGAGACAGCCTTGGACACGCGAGCCACGCCAGCAAACATATCAAGCACCACCAAGGGCCTCTCACGGCCCTGCTGAACACCAGCTCCAAATTTGCTTCGCACCATTTCATTTTCCGTCGCACGTCTGGCCGTAGCTTGAGAAAGCCCTGTATCTGGCGACACTGCGGTGGGACCTCCAACGGCCCCTCTTCTGCACCTCGCTCAGCGACCTCCGACCCACTGCGACGTCCCACGACCACCCTGTGCGCCGCATGGAGTAGGGCACCAGGTCGTCGATGTCGAGGGCCTCGGCGGCGCGGCGGATCTCTCGGGCCAGGTCGCTGCAGTCGAAGGTCCACACCTTCGTCTCCTTTGCCGCCCGCCACTCTTCGAAGTAGCGGGCCACCCATTGTAACTCGGGCACGTCCCACCGCACGGAGTCGTCGAAGTCTCTGGTCTTGGTGTGGATGTTGAGCTCCCTTGCTCGGATCAGAACTGACCAGGTCGGGGAGCTCCACCCTGTTGGAGGGAAGAAGTCCATCCCTCTCAGCGCCAGGCTCTCTCCCGGCCGCAGGTACAGGCTGGCGTTCACGATGCGCCAGAGCCCCATTAGAGGGGGGGCCCGTTGCAGCAGCCACACCGCCAGCCCGCATATCACCGCCCACGAGTGGGGAGGCCGAGAGTGGCCTGGGCAGAGCCTCTGCCATCCCAAGAGGGCGCGCCGTGCTCGCGGCAACTGCCGCTCGCCGCGTCGCCCCAGCGCGGGTGCGAAGGCCTCCGGGGCCGCCAGCAGGTAGCCCACGTGGTGGCTGGCGGGCCCCTCCAAGAACATCTCCTCCAGGCGGGCGACCACCGGGGCGTCGAGGTCCCTGTCGCTCAGCTCGTTCCACTTCTGGATCCCGACGTGGTTCTGGAAGTCTCTCACGCGCTCCGCGCATCGCCGGTAAGTGCCCTCGGTCACGGCACCTCTCACCTGGAAGCTCTCGTCGGACTCGAGGCCCGCGGCGAAGCACGTCTGCCAGCGGCCCAGCTCGGCTGCGCGTGCCTTCCGCGCCTCCGCCGTCTGTCCAGAGCTCTCTGGCTGGCCCGCCGTCTTTGCCAGAAGCACGCGCTCCTCTGGCGGCGGGCCAGGCAGGGGCGTCGAGGCCAGGCGGCGGGCCAGAGGCTCCACGCTTGGCCGTGCCACAGGCACCCGGCCCGCCCGCAGCGCGTCCTCCAGCGGCTTCACCAGGGCGAGGGAGACCATTGTCAGACGCCCTGTCTCTCGGCAACTTTCGCTTCTCGAAGACTCGGCTGGCTGCATCCGCGGGGTTGAGCTCCGAAGGGATCCAGCGATCAACCGCGACAAATCGGCGGCCCAGCTGGAGAGCGCATCGCCTTCGACACAGCGCGAGCAGTTGCCAGCTGGTTGCCCGACCTTTTGATTGAGCCAAAATGGTACTGAGGTTATCGCCCAGGAGAAGAACCCGAATCGCACGTCCTGACCGAGCCTTGCAGAAACGCCTCAGGCACCACAGGGAAGCACGGCATTCTTTCACATGAGTCGGCTCTAGTCTCCGAAAACGCCCACTATAGATATGTTCCCAAACAGACTTCTGATTCCACGCTTTCGGCACGTCCTCGAAAACTGGGTCCTCCCCCCAGAGCTCGTAGCCCGAAGTGGAGGCCCCGATCGCCGTCACAGGGTCTGAGAAGGGGTCCAAGACAGCCAGCCCCAGGGCCCGATCGCGATGTCCCCCAAGGCCCGCGTATCTGAATCTGAAACGCTCCGCCAGCCTCCCCACATGCTGCACCTGTGCCTCCTTCCACTCCGTCTGCACCACCCCCATGCCACTGGTGCGCGCATCGTAAGCGAAAACTTGGGGGCTCCAGGGCAGGCGAAGCTCGGCTACACACAGAGGCAACATACGGTAGGCGGCCCCCAGCTCAGCATGCGCACTCGGCCACAGAGTCCGTTCATACTGATAGTTATGGCGGATGAAGCGATAGGTGGCCCCAAAGACTGACAGTAGCGGGCGACGCATCAGGAAGGCAAAGGTGAGGTGACCCACAAGCATTTCCAACTGTGCGCCGCGCAACCTCCTCCTTCTCAGAGCCCACTGGAGAGCTCCGCGTAGACGACTATACCGTCTCTCACTTGTTTTACCCCGTTTTCCCCGTCGATAACCACTCCGAGAGCTTCGCCGACATGAGTAGATGTGGTGAGCTCGTGCGTGATCAATCCGACTTCGTCCAGAGCCCTGGTCGCGGCCTCCCGGACCTGCTGAACCTCGTTTGCCCCCAAGCCCAGGACCCCGACGTTGTCAACATATACGTAATGAGCCAAGCTCATCCCCTTGGTGTCGAAAACGGTGTTGCACGAGCGGTTATCGAGGGCATTATCGGGGCATAGGCGCGGCACATTATACGCGGTGTTCTGCACGGCCCTCTGCGCGAATAATAAGCTCCACGTAAATCCCATCGGCAATGCCCTGAGGCACGGATGCACAATCCGGTCTTGGGCCTCTGAGGCCCCTTCCACAAGTCCAATCCCCAGAGCCCCAGCTTCAATAGGAGGGGGACCAACAATTTCGCACAGAGGGCCGTCGATGCCGAGCCTATAAAAACATTTAGAGACGTCCCCTTTAGATATGTACACGGTATCTTTGGGCCCCACCTCGACGCTGGCGAAGTTCTCGACTGTGGCCAATGCCACTCCCGGGGGGGGCCCTGAATTCTCGATTTGCTGCGCGCGCATCAACTATCAGACGGAGCCGACCGTCTTTCTTAGCAACAAAAAACATGGCGCACTCTGCCCGGCGCTGCCGTCGCCAGGTGACTCTGCCCCTACTTTGCAGCTCTCTCACAAAATCTACATACGCCCGACTACCCCCTCGGAGCCGGGGGTCCATATAGGGCTTCACTGGAGGCTCAGACCTCATCACTTCCTCATCACGGAGAAAATCAATCGGCAGCCGTTCGAGCATCGAGCGCTCTCGCTCGCCCAGCGCCTCAGCCGCCAAAGGGCAGTCGGCTGCGTCGGCTGGCAACGACGCGAGGCCCTTCACGAACGGGCGCACCAGGCTGTCAGACGGGCCGCAGCCCGCTTTGTGCAGGAGAAGCGAGCGAGCTGATTCAGAAGGCACGGCAAAAGCGGCGTCAGCGTAGTGCGAGGCAAGGAAGCATGCGTCCTTGCACGCGACCTCCTGCATCTCGCGAGTGGGTCCTCCGTCCGCGGGCGGCACTGCGCCCGCCGTCCAGTTCAAAGCTTCGCACGCCTCTCTCACTACCCTCTGCTGTCGCCTGCGCGCCTGCACGCGCTGAACACAGCTTCGGGAGAGACCAAAACGAGGCGGGGCTTCGACACCTGGAGGTTGAAGAAGGAAGACTTCGCCTGGGAGCCAAGAGCCCAGACTATCGCACCCCCGCTTAGCCCAGTCATGCTCATCTCAGGCCCGCGACTGAAGACGGAAAACGCTAAGAAGACGGCGTCGCTATGCGCCCAGATGGGGCGCGTCTGGCCCCTCGCCCTCGACTGGAGTGAGGGCCGGGCGACCCCCCACTCCTCCTGTAGCTGCCCCTTGTCGCCGCCAGGCTTTCCTCCGCGCAGCTTGCGGGCCTCGCGCGCCTTGTCGCGCTGCTTGTCGACCTCTGCTTCGTCTTTGAGCCTGGCGGCCACGTGGCTCTGAAGAGCCGGGGCGATACCTCGCGCCCTGTGTCCGAGGCCCATGAAGTGCTCGGAGCCTTCCCAGACGGCGGCGCCACCGCCCGAGTTCGCGTCCATGATCAGCTGGACCTCCTGTCCACGAGCTCCAAGCACGCCAGGTTGCCGATGTTCAGCTGGTCGACGGCGCCCGCCGGCTCCATCACATTGAGCAGCACCTCGACCTCGTGGGCACTTCGATCATTCTCGGCCATCTTCATGTCGCGCACCACTCGTGTGGAGAAGGCCGTTGGGCTCCCGCCGTTGAGGCGGATGTGGCGGCACAGCCACACGGCCGTCCGCGGCCCCATCAGCGGCCAGTCGGTGAAGCTCTTCTCGATGAGGTTCTCCACTCTCCCAGGTGCGGTGTCGCTCGTTCATCCGATCCCACACCGCGGACAGCGTGCGGAGGTCGTCGTCATCCTCCTCGCGGGGGGGCCACCGCGCTGACGTGGCGCCCGGCTCCGTACCCGCAAGCCCTCGGGCCGCCTCGTCCGCGACCTGCATCAGCGCCAGCGGCCTCCCCGCGTGCTGGACCCAAGCGCGGTCGCCGACAACGCAGGCGGCGGACGGGGCCTCCTAGGGGGTCAGCCGCGCAATGCCATGCCGCTCCTCGGCGGTCACCCACCTGCCTGGAGGTCGGCCCGCGCCCAGCCCATCGCCAACGGCGGCGCCAGCCGGAGCCCCTGCCTCTCCGCGGGGCGTCGGTGGCCCTTCGACTTGTGGAGGCAAGGGCAGCGGGGCCGCCAAGGCTTGTGGTTCTCTGATCCTCTTAGGGCTATCCCTCGGGCGGACTCTATCACGATCGCCTGGGGGATTACCCAAAAAATCAAAGGGATTGTCGAGGAAAGATTGGGCATTCCCCTACAAATTTAAAGTGTTCTCGAGAAAAAACTGTGGAATCCCCCACGGATTTGAGGTGAGGTCGGGAAAAAATGGAAAAAACAAATCTGCGCGAAATGACACATCCAACCAAAGGAAATCAGCTACCCCCAAAAATCATTGGAGAACGAAACCAAAAATTTGGCATCCTTCTTTGGTAAATGACATATTGAAAAGTCCCGTTCACGGCGCTCCTGGGGCGCTTTTCAATGTGCACGGGCGTTACTTGACAATGTCAGCCCTCCTGGGCCGACTCGGGGCACTCTTCTTGGGCCACCGCAGGGCCCTCTTGGGCCGTCTTCGGGCTCGGGGCCCTACCGATATGGTAGTGCGATAGGGCGCTTGAACCATTCACGAACGCGCAAGCTAAATGTTGCTCGGCCTTCCGCCACATACTTATAACATGTGGGGGAGGGCTGGGTTAGGGGCGGCAGAGGCGGGACAGGGAAGTGCAACATAAAACATTGATGAGAAAGTAGACGCGCGCTGGGGACGGGGAGGTGGACGAGAAAGAGGGCGGAGGGGGGGGTAGCGGGAAGCCTTCTGGGGCCCCGTGGGCCCCCACCCCCTAGATTGGGAGCGGGCGCCACGCGGCCCGTCGTCAGGACATCCAGGATTGCCCAATGTGGCCCCCAGATGGCCTTAGAGAGCCTTAGATGACGCCCAAGATGATCCAATAATCCCCAAGGTCGCTCAAGATGCCTTCCAACGCGTTCCACGGTACCGCAAAGCAAGGCCATGACGCACCCAAGTGGCATCAAAGAAAGTTCTGTTCTCAACATACCAGATGCATGTATGTATGTATGTAAGTATGCGCGTATGTAGGAATGTGCGTGCGACCTACCTTGTAACTTAGCAACTTCGCAACTTAGCACCCGCGTCGAAAAATCAGCAGCCTAGCGACATGCAGCCTGGCACGACCATACCAAAATCTAGGCACCTTCGCAACTTAGCAACTTAGCCGCTGAACGACTTAGCAGCTTGGCAACTTGCAACTTAGCATCGCGGCAACAATGTATGTATGTGCGAGCAACATTGCAACTTAGCAACTCCGCACATCGGCAACTTAGCATGGCTTGCAACCTTGCAATCTCGCAACAAAACATTCACTGCAATGCAGCAACTTAACGACTCATGTGCGAGCAACCGTGCAACTTAGCAACTGAGCACCTTGACGAGATGCAACTCGGCAGCTTAGCTCCTCCCCCCCCCCCCCCACTCACCCCCCAAAGAGGAGGCGGCAAGGAGGATCGATCGCGCCGCGGTGGCGCCCACACCTCCTCGTGCCACGATGGCCCCCGCACCGCCCCGCGCGGCCCCTCACCGGAGCCTTAGGGCCTCCTGCGAGCGGACCAGCAGCTTCGTCGGCAAGTCCTTCGCCTGGAGGCCGTAGGCGAGCTTCAGCAGCCCCGTCGCAGACTTCACATCGTCGCGGATCGCGACATTCGGGCTCCCCTCCTTCGCGAGGGCGATAGTCATGGAGGCGCACACGATGAGCATCACCGCGGAGTTGACGGCCTTCTTCCAGCCGTTGACCTTGTCTATGTTCACAGTCGTGTTGTAGGCTTTGCACGCCTGCTGATGGTGACCCACTGCGGTGGTCATGGCCTTGATCTCATCCTCGCCGCCGTCCTTCTTGTAGTGCTGGAAAATATCCGCTGCTTGTCCTGCGATCTTCTGCC